ACATATAGGTTTGCAAACCTTCAGTGACAGCAGTTACATTATTGTGCATAGAAGATGCTAACATGTCTGCAAACACGTAATGAAAACTGAAAGAACTGCGATGCAAACCGTAAACAGAGAATGTTCACATTCGAAGAAAGGATTGACTCCGGTGCTGCAGCCAATACATTTCAAAAGGTGCAACTTTTACTTTGAAGGCAACTTCTAGTTTGTGTTGCTGTTTTCACAGCTTCGCTACAGCTCTGAGGATTGTTGATGAGTGTTTGCAGACCACTTGGCGTTTTCCATGCAAATTACCAGCAGTTGTGGCGTTCTGCTGGCAACCAAAGCAACTGCAAGGAGGTCTGTGCCAACTGGTTGGGGTTGCTGGTGGTTGCTATGGGTCACCAACCAGAGCTCTAGGCCTATGTAGAGTTTAGCGCTAGATTCCATCGTGCCTGCCATCAGCCTGCAGCAACTGGTTGGAGAATACACATTTTCCCCCTCTTAAAAGGCCGGTGTGAACGGGGTCTTATTCACTTGACCCTACAGCAACACATGTTGATGTGACATGGTGAGCAGCCATGTCTCTCCAAAACCTCAGCCTGTGGGAAAACACGCCTTTGGCTCCTTTGATCTATGATCTCATTAAACACTTTTCTGATGAGCTTGTGGGCTCAGATGTAAATTTCAAGTCTTACCTAATAGAACGTGACATTCACTTTGCAATTTAAAGTCTCCATGAGAGTCCAAAAGGAGGATAAAGCAGGGTACGGTTTGGAGCTGCCATCCTCACCACGCACAAGTGAAGTCTGATGGTGGCAGTGAGAGCGCCCAGCTTAAGGCTTCAAGCCAGCATTTCACTAACCAATGGGTGACCGCACTGTGGTTGCGTCCATCTTTTATATACAATCAGCTAAAATTTAAGGAAGTGGTCACACTAAAATGAATCTAAGGCGATTTTAAATGACTTGGATGCAGTTCGTTCATCCTGCAAATGTTTTGCCTGAATATTACCCTTGTTTCTGGCGTGAGACAATATTGATGTTTTAGGCTTCATTGCTGCTGACGTTTATAAATGTTTGGTTGTCGTCGTACTTTATTTTCACCAGCTGTATTTTTGTATAGTTAATTTGTGTATTATTCTGTTTATATTTGTGCATGTGGTCTAGTTTATGCAACTCAGTTGATTGCACTGCTGTCTTTTTTGGCTAAGACTCTCATCGTCAGGATTTCCAGAGTAACTAAAGCTGAAATATAACAGTAATCTAAAAAAAATAAATAAAAAGAGACATTTAAAATGTGCAGATATGTATATTTTAATGGTTATGCTAGAAAAATCAAGGGATAAAATTAAATTTTGGTGCTGGTGTAAATGCTGATTATACGTTTTAAAGTAATAAAATCAAATGTGTATATCAGTCTGACCCCATAAAGATCGGCATGCCCTCCTCTTATTTTGATCTGTTGTCATCTATTTCCAGTCTTGTTTGCATAAATCCATTTCTGATGTAATTTTTAGCAGAGCTGGCATATTTGCTTGCCCTTGTGCTGTTACCCTTAATGGAATTATACCATGTTTTAATTGCAATCCAATCAGGCATGGCCTGCGGTGTCAAGACTACAGGTCAGCTAATTGATAACCTTGTAAAATATTGGTGAGCCATGAGAACTTGAGTTTTCCCTCAAACAGAAATGAAGAAGTAATCTTTTTAAAAAGAGTTTGTTCTTCTACAAGATGAGAAATAAATGCGCTCACTTTGACGTCATCAGACAGAATTTAATCATTACTCATTCCAGGCCTCATCACTGTGACAAAGCCGTGACAATTACAACTATTGTGCCATGGAAAGCTGAGGTTTTTCAGCTTTCTGCGGTGGCTCTTAAGTCCCATATGAAACCCATCACTCTGTGAAGTCTCTTTAAAGCTGTAAAACAACACAGAAAACCGTTAAATCTTTGCCTTATTTTCACTGCACTATTTGTGGCTTTTCCATTCCCGTAATGGGCTCGTATGCACACATGCAAACGAGAGAACGGCATGAAGAGACAGACAGGGTGGAGAGGGAAAGAGAGCGGAGACTGACTTGATCGCTCAGATAAAAGCAATGGAAAACACACATGCATGAGGTCTGAGCTTGTCTTCGAGAAGACAGTGCTGTTGGAACAACACGCACGGGAGGGTACTTCTGTCTGCTGAATCTATGAAGTGTCTCCAGCATGCAGATCGCCCCTGGTTTCATCCAACATCTGACAGCAATGACTCAAATATGACAGATTACAACCCTCATCCATCTGCTACAGTCGCCTTCGGTTTGTGCTTATTTCTCCATCCAGGAAAGAGAGCAGACTATGACAGTGCACAAATTGCTTTCAGATATGCAAGTGTGTGACCATGTATCTTGGCAAGCGGCTGTTTGTTACTTATAAAATCGTGACTCATCTGTAAAAATAATCAACAGCAGTTCCAACGCACCATTTTTTTTTCATGGGGATTATGGCAGATATATAAGCACGCAAAGGTCATATTTGTCTGAAGGAAAAGATTCAGGATTAAAGCGGTTTATCATCACTTTATCACCTATGATATGGATAAATAAGTGCTGTGGTAATATTAAATGGATGATCCGGAGGAATATCTACAGCAATCGGTTCTCTATCTTATGAGATGAGAACTTCAGAAAGATTAAATGTCAAAGCAGGGGTTGCGTTTTCAGAGCCTGTCTTAAACTCCTGCTTTACACTGCATTGAGTGTGTGCGTGTGCGTGTGTGTCACATCCAGATGTGACAGAGAGTTGACCCTGTGACTGACAGTCAGATGAGGAGGACTTGCTTGTTCCACATGGATAAGTTCTTTCTGTCACTGACTCTCTCTCTCTCTCACACACACACACACACACACACACACACACACACACACACACACACACACACA